TGTGAAGTTGCATTTTCTTTCTCTAGTTAGAAAATTTGTTAGTGTGCAGGTCGATCATGCCTTACATAAGAATAGCTGTTAAGTTGTAACTAGATCAAAACAGAGCTACAAGTGCCATTGTTGAGAGGACTCAAGGCTAAATAATGTCTTTGTTTCTCTTATTGGTTTCCCTCCCGGTTCGAGATTTCTGGAGGTCATATATGTGACTTGACAACGAGATTTCGAGTTATAGGAATTCGAACTTTCTAGCATTCAATGAAGTTCTACCACGAGACGAGATAGCAGAAAGTTTGAAATTGTATTCGTGCTTCGGGTCAAAAGAAACGTCGTATTCCTTAAGGTAATTCGACTGAAAAAAGAGAAACACCAATGCACTGAAACAAAGTAACTAAGCAATATTTGATTGCTGGTTCGAAAGTTGTTTGTTTTCTTTTACCAGACACACAAAGCAGCTTACTTGCCGGTGTCATCGCATTGTCTTTTATTGTGTTCGTGTTGCTCATTATAATTTGTGGGCTGGTATGGCAGCGAAGACGAGCTGTTCCTGATAAAAGAATACAGAGTAAAGAAGAAATTGACTTTGATGGCGTCAAATCTTCACCTGATCAACTGACAAGTGACGAACAATCTTCAGACCCAAACACATATATGGAACTCAAACCCAGGCCTTCGAACCAGGAGTCTCATGTTCCTTCTGAGTATCAGTTGGTACAGGAAAAACTCGAGAACCCCGGATATTATAATATGGTGCTTCAGAAGGAAAGTGGCGGGAAACAAAATGAAGAAGTTTATGAGGAAATATAATAATTCCAAAATTGATTGTGTAAACTTTTAGTTCAGATTGTCCATCTTGTTTTATACAATTAAGCTTAATTATATACTCATTCTGTAGGTATAATCTCATGGAGAACAGACGCACAGATGACGTCACCATTAACAGCATCTCGCTTCTTTATTGTATAAAGCAGGTGGATTTCCTGTTGCCGTGTATCTGTTCTGTAATAAGTCACAGAAGACGTCAAAATTTGGTAAGAACGTTAGTGCTACACTCGACTGCACTTCGTTTGCTACTGTTTTGTCCTGACTGCATTTTGACGTCATCTGTTGCAAAGACGGAACAGACGCACGGCAACTTCCAAACGTTACGTCGGTTCGTGACACACATCTTGTTCTAGTTAGCTAAAAGAAGCGATAAGTAATTTGGCAATGAAATAAATTCGTTTGAACTGTCTTCCTCATTCATTCAAAATTAATTTCTTAAACCTTTCTTATATTTTACTTGTATCTGTGTAATTATATCATTTACTTTTGACGTATGTAAAATGCACAGCTCGATCGTAACCTTTAGTTATGACCCTCAGATGAGTGGTAAACTAGATTTATAACTTTGTGTGGGGTGCCCAAACTAAACGAAACCACTTAAAAGACAATCACACATAACTTCATCAATATGGCTCGACGAATCCGTGTTATCAAATGTGAATTATGAATCTATATATACCGTTAGAGTCAGTGTTACAGCATGAAAATTGAATTCAAATTAAGGCGTGTTCTAGCAGACCACTAGTAAAAATACGAGCCATTAGGTGTAAGGAATAGCAAAGTTTCGTAAAGTGATATCTCTTTGACTCATAAATTACCTTTTAAAGACTTCAGCCTATTTCTTTTAGTCGTTTATCGGACATTAGGAATATTTTCAATATATTTTTATGCGCAGTAAATTATTTTCAATTGTAAAAGCAATATATTACTTTGCTTTCTTTGAAGCAATTGAAAAAGCTAGGGTACAGAATATTATTGTTGGGTGTTTGTAGATAAGAGAATAGAAGATGATGAATATTTTCACTCCTGAAGGTATTTTTAGATTATTGAGTATTTACAGATGGTAGAAAATGCTGGGAAAGATTTTTCCAAGGCAATAACATCCAAATGGGTTGTAAATGTAAAGAAGCAACAGAATAGTTGTAGAATAAAGTAGTAGAATAAAATGTTTTACCAAAAGAAGTGTCTGATCTCCTTTTTCAACCAGACATTCAAGGTAAAACTGCCTGTATTCGATGTACAGTTTTAGCGCCAGGCTTGTCGCAGAGCTTCAGTTGCTTTTAAATTATTCACCACGCATTTTCTTGCCCCGCGTTGTGCCTGCAACGCAGCTCGTAATAAAATACCGTCGCTAGTTCGAATGTATTGTCATCCTGTGATGTTCTTCATCCCTAATTTTTTACGTTTGATTACGAATCCAATTTTCTTAATCATGGGACTTTGCTTGCGCGCTAAACTCGAGCAGCACGGCTGTAGGAAACCACGCGTGAGACTCTAACTTGCGCTGTTTACGGTTTGTCGACATTATTGACAAAATTTTAAACTTTTTGTACGAATATCCCTCGCCGATAACATTTCAAGACATTTCATGATTCCCGTAACCAATTAGCGCTTTCTGTTTTTGCTGTTAACTTTGCATTTAGTCGAGGATTTGAGCAAGACCTAGACTTTCTGTTGTCCTAGCTATAGTAGTAGTGATTTCTGTTTGGTAAGAACTGTAGCAGATGAACACGACATAGGCTCTTTTGTTCAGTATAATTAATGCATAGTAACTCATTTGTCGCGTCAAAGCAAGCTTGAAGGTTATGACATAATGAGAGGTTTGTTTGATGATTGCTGCCCTTGCTGTTTTTCTATGCTGGTCAGGTTTCTCTAAAATGCCTACGAAGAAACCCTTTTCAAGAAAACCAGTGATATAATTAGATTTTTCGGCAGCTTTCGCACAAAGGCAATTTTTTTTYCTCCACCCCAACTACTGCCTGTATGAGGCGCCACTGAAAGTGGACAAAAATGCCGTTTAGCAATTTTTCTTTCCAATTACATAAATATGTTCTAAACTCAAGATTTTTGTCCTCAGTTGACATATTAGATGCTAACTTAGTGAAATATTTATGCTTTTTTCGCATTTATTTTCTAAACTCTTCAGTTGCATTCTAATTGCAAAGAAAATGCATTACAAGTACAAAAAACTGAATTATTCTAATTGAAATGTGTTTTAGTTGTTCTGATGTTCTTATTACATTCTATTTTAAAAAAAATAAAGTATTCTAATAATGTTCTTTTCATGCCAAGTTTGAAAAAACTCTGCTCATAAGAATGAAAAATTATCCTATTCTCAGTCAGAAAATATATGGCAATTGCAAAAAATACGTTTTAATTAGTATGCCAATCATTCTCAGTTGAATTTTTTCGTGCTAATTAAAACACGTTTCTAATTAACATGCAAATTTATGCTACACAAACCGGTGTTGGGCAAGGGTATCGCGAACGCCGATGTAATTGACATTTCCCCCTTTTTGCGCTAATTTTAAGGTGGCTCGTGCTAGTTTCCTCGCGCGGGGAACAGATAACTCTTACGTCACGCGCGAGAGAAACGTGCGAAAGGAGCGCGAGATTAAAAGACGAAAATTTAAACAAAGATGGCGGCGCGAGGATGTTTCCTACTTTTGTGAGAAGTTCACCTAAGAGTGTGTATTTGATGTGATGAGCGGCCGCTGTGAATGCAGGAGATACAAACTAAGATAAAAAGACGATTTTCGGAGAAGTAAAGGTTGCTTTACTTCACATCTAAAAGAAATAATCAACCGATATGAAATCTTGCGACGGCCGAAAAAAGAAGAACTCAAGTGAAGGATAATCTACCTGAAGCGGAAGAAGACGTTGAAACTTAAAGGAAAATAATATAATATAGCCAGAAGTCGTGTGTAGGATCTTTAAGATGAGCCCAGGAGGCTGCCTTTGACAGCTGTTTAATGATTTTCTTAGCAGTAAACGTCTGTAAACATCAGATCGTAGGCGCTCGCGCGAGCACATGCAATTGTTAGCTATCACAGATCATGAGCAAATGTCGATCTTATAGAATCCAGATTTTTAAATGCGCGAGAACGCGCGTGGAAATTGCAAAACTCACGAAAGCTGTTGCATGAAAACAAGTCCGGTGACCCCTTCTTTTTATTGTTCTAATATGATAATAACGTCGAAAGGAATCATCACAAAAAAAATTGAAAATTCTACGGAAGGAAATTTGCGATGTGTGAAAATTGCCTTTTTTGTAGATTTTCTGAAATTCCGCTCCGTAGAATTTTTTAAAAATCATTGTGCATTTTCCTTTTCAAGGGACAAAAGCAATCACTGAAAAAAATCACGGGGTCACCGGGTTAGTTTTCGAATCAAGTAAGCCACAAGCTAAAAATTGCGTCTGAATAAGCCTATGAAAGCGTTGCAATGGAAACTGCTAGTCACGGTTTTTGGATAACCAATGATTACATAATTCAATCCCGTAAAAGTGTTCAACTGGCCTTGGTCAGCCTCTCTGTTGTATTCTTTCAAAGTTACAAACCATCAAAAAGATGAAAACCGGTACGAGCCACCTTAAAGCTTTGAATTGAAGACTATCTAGAAAAGCTACGATATGCTTTTATACCATCGAGGAAGGGGCGACAGAGAGATAGCTAGAGAGATTCTTAGAAAATACTCAAGCAGTTCTCGGTCAAATTGCTAGCTTCCGGTCAACAATGGGAGACCCAGAATACAATCCTGGACGACTTAGAAAACGCTGTTGATCGAATGACCGAAATCTGTTCAACGTTTGGCGTTCTTCATCAGGGTGTACACACTAAAGCGCTGCAAATAATTCAGTTGTTGGCCTGACGAGTATTTTAGACGATATACGAACACATCTTTGGACGAGACCCAAAGGTTTAAATACAGAGAGTGCCTGTTCTTGTGAATACCAATGCCTAGTGAACAGCAGCGGCGAAAAAGGTCGTCCTCGTTTTGAAATTATGAAGGATCAACTGGAATTCTTGCGAAGTAAACACTTTCGCTGGGTTACCATTACTAAATTACTGGGAATTTCTAAGAGAACACTTAATCCAACAACATTGACTTTATTTCTTTTAAAATTAAAGAAATAAAGGCTTTTGTAGCCCGCAGATAGCAAAGCTATTCAAGGCGGGCTACCTAAACAGACACTGTATAGGCTCTCACACTTACGCACACACACACACGCGCGCGCGCACGCACACACGCAACAATGAAATAAATAATTAATGAGCAAATAAAAATAAATAATAAATAATAGTAGTGATAATCATGTTAACTGGGCCAGTTACACAAGGGAGTTTTTAACAGGTCAAAGAGAAAGCTAATCAGTTAAAATACAAATATAAGCTAGAAAGGTCAAGGTAGCGCAAGTCAACATTCATCTCCTCAATTTCAAGAATTTTCAAAAGCAAGTGAGTTAGCTCACTTTTAAAAGGTGCTTTCCTTAGCTTACGAATTTCAGGGGGGATGCCATTCCATATTTTCGCACCAACTCTAGAAAAGGAAAACAACTGATGATTTGTTCTCGCCTGTTTTATATAAAAGCTTCCAGCTACTGAGAAACGAGTAGAGTAGGAATGAACCTGTTCAGAGTGAGTAAAAAGTTCAGAAATATTG